GCGGGAAATGGCGTCGGCCCCGGGCCCCCGGGCGCACCGTGACGGGCGGGTCTGTGTCTCCGAGCAGACGATGAGATGTTCTCCGACATCTACAAGATCCGGGAGATCGCGGACGGGCTGTGCCTGGAGGTGGAGGGGAAGGTGAGTCGCCCCGGCCGCGCGTGGGGGAGGCGAGGCTGGGCGGGCTCGGGTTTCCGCTTCTCCCCCCGCGAGGTTGTGCAATCCTCTCCGCTGCCTCCTGGCGGAGGAGACATTCGTTCTGGGCTCGGGTTTTTCTAGAAAAGTGGAGGCGGAGCTGAGCCTGGAAATAGGTCCGCCGCCTGGGCGCCCTTCCTCCTCCCGGCTGTCCCGAACAGGTTGTCTGCGCTTGGGGCGCCCCCAAGCCCTCCCACGTTTACCCTGTCCTACTTGCGGAACAAGCCGAGAGCCCACAGAAAACTCGCACGTGGTTGTAAATGACCCCGTATTCGTTCCGGTCGACCAAAAGTTCGTGCTGAGTTAAGGCGTTTTAGGAGTCATACGTTTTTTCCCCTAAAATGTTTTCAGCGTGAACCAGAAATATTTGTGGGAGGATGATGGATGCGTGAACTGCTGGTACAGGTTTTTTGGATGCTTTTATGTTAATATCGAGTACATCTTTTGCAACTAAACTACAACTTCTTATTGCAGATGGTCAGTAGGACAGAGGGTAACATTGATGACTCGCTCATCGGTGGAAATGCCTCCGCCGAAGGCCCTGATGGCGAAGGAACCGAAAGCACAGTAATCACTGGTGTTGATATTGTCATGAACCATCACTTGCAGGAAACCAGCTTCACAAAAGAAGCCTACAAGAAGTACATCAAAGACTACATGAAATCGTGAGTGATACTGGCACCTAGTTGATGTCTGGACTCCTATAGGGTTTAGAGATTGGCTCAGTTTGAGGTTCCTTAGCAGGCATACTTGTGGGAGACCATACTTTTTTTTTTTTTTTATTGATGAGCTCATAGGGGTGCTTGCTTTTCTATAAATAAACTAATGAGAGCATACTGGAGCAAGCAGTCTGGTTTTAGCTTTGTAGAATAGTGCTTTGGAAATAAGTACATGAATTTCAAAGTTGTGAACAGTCTTGATGTGTCCTGCGAAATAGTAATTTCGTGATTGTACTGTTACTTTGCTCAGTGACAGCTCTTTGCTGTTTGCAGTAGGGTTTTGTTTTTGCTTTTATTATTCATGAAAAAAGTTTGCTGTGAACTCAATACTTTAACCTGTTAATATTGTTTTAGAATCAAAGGGAAACTTGAAGAACAGAGACCAGAAAGAGTAAAACCTTTTATGACAGGGGCTGCAGAACAAATCAAGCACATTCTTGCTAATTTCAAAAACTACCAGGTAAATAAATACTCTAAATATTTAAGTGAAAAGATTGCATAATTTTACCTGTGAGGGCATAAAAATTAGTTATTTGATGAGTCTCTAGTTAAATTGTGGTTATCTTCCTGGGCTTTTGAGCAGTTTGAACACTTCGTAGAGTCAGCTCCAGGAGCACAGGCTATACCTGTTCCCAGGTTCCCAGATCTCGTCTTGATGCCAGAATCTCATCCCTACCCAGATGACATTTGTTAGTTCTTCCTCTCACGACTTGCTTGTTACCCATCCTAAATTGTCTTCTGATTTTCTCTTAACAATTCCAATGTATCTTGTCGCCAGTGGACCTCTATCGAGGAACTTCAGGGACTTCCCTTACCTCCAAGACTCAAAAAAAACCTATCGCAATCTTGCTCTTTGTTTTTCTGGCTTTCACACACCCCCTGGCCGGAAGATAACTTCCCTCATAAGATGTGCTCATTGGAAGCTTATGGTCTTTGCATGACTGAAAACGTTGTAAGGTTTGGAATTTCATATGTGGAACTGAGAGGAAGTTGTCAGGGAGCCTGAGCGTTTCTCTGTTTCTCTCTGTTATTCTGATTGGTGTTTATTAGTCCTTTAGTCAGGTGAACAGGTCTGTGATTAGTGAGCATTTTTTCTCACCCGCGTCAGAACTCTGCTGACATTCTCTTAAGTCACGGTGTTCTGGGTCACCCTGTTTTATTGCAGTTCGTTTGACATGGCGCATCTGGCTGTGATGGTCTAATTCAGAACATTTGTTGTTTTTCCTAAGTTCTTTATTGGTGAAAACATGAATCCAGACGGCATGGTCGCCCTGCTGGACTACCGCGAGGACGGCGTAACCCCGTACATGATTTTCTTTAAGGATGGCTTAGAAATGGAGAAATGTGTAAGTATGAGGGATGGCTCGAAAGCAGTAAGGTAAAGATGGCGATGTCGGTGTGATTCTCATTTCTTGCCATTGGGGTGGCGAGAGGTTTCTCTAGCAATCCTTTTAAACGAGGGTCTCGGTCTTATTTCTCTGGGGGTCTAAACAGAGTCATGTTTCACACGTAAAAGAATAGAAAGGCTCAGAATATTTGTTACCTACATGTAGAAAACTTACTGTGAATATCAAAACTTTTTTACTTGGGTTTACCGATAACTGGCAGTCAA